GGGGGGTTCGGGGGGTGTGGGGGAAGCCGTGGCTGCCATTACCTTTCCTCTGTTGAGTCGTTGAGCTGTACTGTTCCCTTTTCTTGTTTTTTTTTCTGTTGTCTGTCACTTGAGGAGTGTTGTAAATAAAAGCTGGTGTCCTTTTGGCTCTGCCTCCGCCTGGCGCTGCCTCGGCCGGGCGCGAGGCCCATCCCTGCACTCTTCCTGGCAGCAGAGCAGTGTGCCAGGCCTCCCTGCCCCTTTCCAGGTCTGACCAGGTCCCAGGGAAAAGTAACATGGAGAGCACAAGCTGTGTCTTATTAATTTTATTTTATTTTATTTATTTTTTTAATTAATTTTTTTTTCTTTCCAGAAGGGATCCTGCCCTTCCACGTGCTCTGAGCTCTGGAGTTCACAGCACCTGTGCAGCCGGGCGCTGCGTGCTGGTAGCACAGTGCCCTTGGGGCTGGCAGCCCTCATGAGCCAGCATCCCAGGAGCTGTCGCTGGACCAGAGATTTAAATGTTGAGACTATTAATACACTCGGATCCTCTTCCCTCCCCTGCCTTAATGGCATTTAAATTATACTTCGCATTGCTAGCATTGCTCCTCAAGTGCATCTCTACACTTAGCTATGACCCCATTTGCCCCTCATCACCAAAACATTCCTGGGGCGTGCTGGGACACACTGCCTGGTTCTGGCATGGTGGGTGTGGGATGGGCTCTGCGGTGCCACAGAGCTCGTCTGGGGCCATCCTGGGGGCTGCAGTGGTGTCCCTGAGCCCCAGGGCATGTCAGGGGTCAGGCAGCCCAACCCCACCAGCCTCTGCCTTGTTTATCTCGTGGCTTGGGTGCTGTAGTGCTGGAGGCGAAGCTGTTCCCTGAACTCTAATGAAATGTCATACAAAAATTGTTCTATAAACAGGCCGTTTTTATAAAGACTAATAACAAACTGTGGGATGAGGGCAATGAGACGGCAGCAGAGTGTGGCGGTCGGGGGGGGAGTGGGGTGGGCCCTGCAAAGGCTGCAGGCCAGGGACATCAGGTTGTTTACCCATAAAAACCGGGGTTTATTTTCCTGGTGACTCGGACAGGGTGGTTATCATTAGATTAGGGGGTGGGAGGAGCAGCAGGATGTGTTGGATCATTGAATTAGGCAGTGGGCAGCGGGCACAGCAGGAGCTACTTAGCAGACCAATTTGTGCCACGCAATTCCCGTGATAAAGTGGGAGTATTCCTGCCAGTGCTGTGGCCCTGGGGTGCTCCTGTCCGGATGGGCTGGGGAGGGCAGCCATGTAGTTCCCCAGAGTGACACCCACTGGGGGTAGGGAGGGACTCTCAGGGGTCCATGTCCACAGTGAGGGGAGGCTTTGTCCTCAGCCCCGGTGGGCACAGCTTCCAGCAGCTCCACAGTGATGGGAAAGGACATGGATGGCAGTCCCATGGGAGCTGCTGGCTCCAGGGGCAGGGCTGGCCCTGTTCCCTCTCTCCAGTGAGTTCCAGTGCAGGCAGATGTGGGGCTCACATGTGGGTCCCTGGCACCAGCAGATACTGGCCCTGCTTGGGGCAGTGACCAGCACTGCTAGCCCTGACCCCAGCCCCTCTGCAGGCACAGGACTGTGCAGGGACCTTCCACCCCAAAATGTGGTGCTGGGGTGGACCTGGGGATGCTGGACCAAACTAGCCTGTAAGCAGGACAGTGGGACACAGCAAGGGGCTGTGGGGACACAGGGCAGTGCTGGGGACATGGGACAGTGCTGGGGACACAGTGCAGCCACAGGGACATCCCATGGGTTGGGACTGGCCTGGGGTCCCCTGGGGGTCCCCATGATGGTGTGGCAGATGTGGAGCCCTGGTGTGTCTCCCCCTGGGCAGGGTCTGGGGGTCCCCATGGCCTTGGCACTGTGTGGACAGCTGGGCCCCGATGGGGTGTCACGGGGGGATGACAGCGGGGTGTTGCCATGGCAACGCTGGAGCAACAGGCACAGGGCCCGGCGCCGCGTGATGACCATATTTACCTTCCCAGAAACCGCTTCGTGCTCCAGCAATTTGCCTCAATTAGGCTCGTTACCGCGTCAGGAGGCCGCAGTGACGGCAGTGGCCGTGGGGGCCAGTGGCTCTGCGGGGGCTGCCCTGGCTGGCCCCATGGCTCTGGGCTGGCTCCATCCCTATCCCCATCCCTGGCAGACCCCTGCCCTGCTCCCCTTGCCCACTCAGCCCCGCAGTGTCCTCACAGTGCTGCCCTATGGCCCCTGATCCAGACCCTCTGCCCCACAGCCCCGCAGCAGTGCTGCCCCAGCCCATCGATGCTCGCTGGGACAGATGGCAACTTGTTAAGTAAACAGAGGAAAATTCCTGTGTGCGGGGCCGGTGTGTGGACGTGGCCTCCCCATGCTACGCCAGCCCTGGCAGTGGTCTGGGACCCCACAGCCACACGGCTCCCTCGTGCTGGCCAGCGTGGGCAATGCTGGGCAGGGTGGGACTGGGGGGAATGGCCGCCTGCCCAGTGCTGCTGTTCGCTGCGTGGGGCCGCCTGGGCACGGTTCCAAGTGCTCACCCCGCCTGGCACGTCCCCTGTGCTGGGCTGTGCGTGGGGTCCGGCCAGACAGGGACCGTCGTCTGTTCAGAGCCAAATGGGGCCGCCCACGATGGGTGACAGGCAGTGCCCAGGGTCCGTGGGGCAGCCGACGGTCATGGCAGGGCTGTCTGTGCATCTGTGCCGCTGCCCCCTGTGGGGCAGGGTGCTGCTGGCTGGGGTGTGCACGGCTAATCCCTGCACACCAGGCAACTGTGGTGCCCAAAGCCGC